AAATTGGTATGTAAAGTGTTAATTAATATTATTGAAATTGTGTGATTTGTTATCTTTTATTATGGGTATTTTGGTCTATCGACGATTTTCAGTGATATATTTGTAATTTTGTTATCAACAAGTTGTTTTTTGTTACATACTGTAAAATGTAGTATTAAAAAATTTTAAATTTAGAAAATTTGGTGTGTAAATTATAAATATATCTTATATAGAGGGTGCAATTTGTAAATTTTCCTTTATATATGTATACATACTCGTATTCATGTTAACTAAAAAAACTATATTTTGTAATATATTAAATTTATACACTTTAGTATCACTGACTTGCCGCAAGTGGTGGAGTCAGGATTTTTGTTTTGTGGGAAGTAAATATTTTGAAACTACACAACAATAGTTAAAATATTTTGATACACTACTATAATTAAAATGTCATATAATTACATTCAGGGGTGGGAATGGATCAAGTGGGTTGATTTTGGGTCCATCCTGAAATTGATAGACTAAATTTTTTATGTAAAATTCAACTCAAACTGTTCAAATTCATTATTGAAATAAAATTGATCCGAATCGAATCAGTTTTGGATTCCATTTGAGGAAGTTCAATTTACTTCCATCGGTTTGGTGAGTAAAAGGATGTGATTTTGATAATCTCGCGAAAATACGCCTTGCATTGTCAAAACACCAAGAAAAAAAAGTCCCTACGGGCTATGCTAAAAATAATTTATCATTCCAAATATATATTGGCTAATTAAGCATCGAGCACCGGTGGTCACGCATACTGGATCCATTGGGAATATTTTTTTTTGGTGACAACGGATAAATTTTTTGAATAATATATTTGATAATTTCTTTTGTTTTCAAACATCTTTTGTAACTCATTTGGTTAAAGCTTCCAATTCTAAATTGAAAGTCTTGAGATTAAATCTCTATGAAAGAAATTATTTTAGTTCAATATTTTTATGCCAAAACCAATACAATTGGGAGGATTTGAACTTGTGTGCTCTCGAACATTAACATTAAATGTAAAGGAATTATATATGTTCAATTTTAGATGTTTTAATGCAACTGAAAAAATTCAAACCTATACTCCCCTTTTGTATTATGCAAAATTTGGCCACTATGACATTTGGTGAATGTTAACATTAATATAACCGAATTATATATATTCAAATTTATCAAAGTAATAGATATATTCAATTTTTACTGTGGTTGACGATCAATGGTCAACGGTCGCCTTTTTCACTCTAGATTCTGGATCCACCATTGCAAATATATTAGTAGCCCAAACCAAACTAGTTCTTCCTTCTCAATAAGCTCCATTCTCCAATTCTATGACTCTAGATTTTGAATGGCAAAAAATAAGCTTAATTTTTTAGTCAAGGAATAAGTACATATATTTCTATTAAAACTTAGTTCCACTACACTACCAACATTGGATCCTTGAGGCTTGAGACTTGAGAGGATGTGAGAGACAATAAGCAACGATGAACAAGAACTTCAACGGAGAAATAGCTTAGAACAACAAGAGGAAAACTCGAAAAGAGATGAAAGAGACTCTAAAGAATGCAGACGATGTTAAACTAAAAATCGATACATAACAACATAAGGCGGAAAATAGATCGAGAAAATTGAATGACCATAAATCGAGTCCATACCTCTGACCATTGGTATTGTTCCAAAGCTCTTCCTTTTGTTCCGGGTAATGGTACTTCTCAGCTCTTAATACACTAAATTGATGGTGTATCTTGTATTTTTCGGTGTCAAGCGTAGCGACCAAATCCACTATATATAGCCAAAACTCCCCTCAAGTTATGGCTTAAGTTACTCTTCAATTAACGGTGAAATTGACAAGTGAATGTGAGTGAATGTTGACCATCAATTGCCTTCGAACAAACTGAAATGGGAAGAAACGGATTAGTTATATTCTCCCACTTGGTCTATACATCAACCGAATGTCTCAACTTAATTCCATTGATTGTCCTTCTTAAGGAACAAACACATGAATCATGGAAATGAGTTCTCTAACAACGAGTATAATCTTCCATGTATTACGTTTCATTTAGTTCCTCAAGAATTATTTTTCAAAAGGCAACAATACTTAATGAAAAGATCATATGTCTTATTCTTGGTTCTACAAAAATATATTTCCTCAAATAAATTAAGGGGCGCATGAATATGAGAAAATATCACAATAAATAAGAGTTTCATACAAAATTTATGTATACCATTACATGGTGGAACCAAGTCCCATTTTCTCTATATGATCCTTGAATTTCAATGTTGGCATGTCTTCAGTCAAAGGATCAAAGACCATCAATTCAGTTCTTACTTGCTCAATGAGCACTTTCTTTTCTTTAATATGTTCCCTTATGGCCAAATACTTAATGTCGATATGTTTACTTCGACTACCACTTTTGTTGTTCTTAGTTATAAAGACAGCAGTTGAGTCTTCACAGTAAATTCTAAATGGCTTAGAAGTGGAATTCATAATCTAGGCCCAGATATGAAACTCTTGATCCATACACCATGCGAAGAGGCTTCAAAACAAAAAGGGAACTCGGCTTCAAAAGTGAAAGTTGCAATCAAGGTTTGCTTGGCACTTTTCCATGATACAACTCCACCAACCATCATAAAATATATCA